ATACAATAAATAGATCAATAATTGACGTCCAACAATATTTGCTTTTTTAATCAACTTGTCAACTAAAATCAACAATCTTAGATCTTTTAAACTCCGCAACATATTTTGTTGCGGGTTTCATCAATATACAGAATGATTCAAGAGAAAGATTTATACGTATGTACTATACGTACGTACATGCATATATAGATTTTACTCAAAAATCACCCGTGCGGATTGCTAGTAATTAATAAAACTAACTAAGTTTACATACTAACATATATTATCTCACTTTTTATTAAAAACTCCCTTAGTATGTCACAAATTCGTGATTACACTTATACATTACATTTAATACTATTTCCCGCTGGTAACATTTATGACTTATTTTGAACCATTCCATTTCTTTTTAGTCTATAAAATTTCCAGTCAACCAAATCTTTAATGATATTACATAACATAAACATAAACACTCACGCCTGTCACCCAGAGGGGTAGGCAGAGACTACAGACTTCCATTTGGCACGATCCTGACACACCTCTCTTGCCTCCTTCACATCCATACACCTACGCATACATGCTCGTCGGTTAAGGGTACTCCTAATTTGGCCCGTTTTCAATAAATCGCCAATTTGGTCGATAAATTTTCGCCTAGGACGTCCCTTTCCGACTCTGCTTTTTTCATTCACTTCTGCACCATAAATACCTGCGCGATAATGCGCGTGGAAAAGACTTGATCTGTACATCCCATTCCCTTTCTAAATCCCGCTTGCACATCCCAAATTTTTCCATCAGTTTCTTTCATGACCCTTTCAATCAGTACCTTAGTATACAGTTTTCCCAAATCGTTTTAATGATATTATAGTCGTTATAATGGTATTATAGTCGAATTATGAAAACTAGTACCATAGCTTTAATAGATTTTAAAATTCTTTCAGGTACATTTCTCAAATCCAAAGCTTTTCATATTCAGACAAAGCCTGAAACATATAATATTGTAAATTGCTTCCGATAAATTGAATATCAATAGATAGAATACAATTCTACTTTAAACCACAGAATCGCAGATTTTGCTCGTCCTTACAATATGTTTTGTAAATCTAACTCAACATACTACTAGTGAATTTTATAACACAACATCCTAGTAAGTGTTTGACCCCACTGTAAAATGAACTTCAAATTAAGAATACATTGATTACTGAAACGAATAGCCTGCAATAATACTGACTCCTTTACTTTTGAAATCGCAACGCAGCAGTGTACTGCGACTAGTAACTACTACTTGGAGCTCTGTCGTTTATTTAATAATTAACTCAATAATTTCTAATACATGTGCTACAAATTTAATTAAGTGTACTCGTAAAGTAAGATACGTCACATTTAACGCACCAATATTAACATAGTATAACTAACGAACACAAAAAAATGCTGCGAACTCACAATCTTTTTAGTGCTTACGTACACATACAGCAAAATGAACTTTTCGAAGGAGAGCGCCCTTGTATAATTACAGTAACCAAACACATACAGCATTTTGGTGCGAATATACTCATGAATGCATCAAACTTTTTTAAAATAGGTACTATATTAAGATATATGGTAGTTATAACTATTAAAAAACAAAATATTTTCAGAAACAAAGAGAAATATGACCTGCCTGTCGACTGAAATAGCCCATTTATATGCGTATCTCCTAAAAGTTTGTAATGGAAAACAAAAGCTGGCAAAGGGTCTATGAACGCAATATCGCTTTGAAGTAACAAATTGTGTTTTAGTTAGAGAAAAATTAAAATGGGCCCCACGTTACCGATTTTTTTTTTATTTTAACACCACTTCGCATACAAATTGAGTACTAATAAAGGTATACATATACGAAAATATTGATAGTTTGTGACGACATGCAATTTGTGTATTAATTTTTAAATATGTTTATTGAACGGCGTCCGCGCTGATGCGATGTTTGTGTCGGTAGTGGTCGGCACCATTCACACTGCCTGGATAGTCAAAGTATAACGGAATGCAATGATGTCACTGATTTATATAATCAGTACTTATAAATCGTGTAAGTTTATATTTATAATTTATGTCTCAACTCAAATAGAAGGCACGAATGATGCCATGTTGTGACACCATCTTCATCATCATCATCATTATTACAGCCTTTCACAAGTCCGCTGCTGAACATAAGCCTCCCCCAAAGTATGCCACAAAGCACGGTCCTGAGCCACCAGCATCCAACGACTTTCAGCATGTCTTCCCAAGTCGTCACTCCATCTAGTGGGGGTTGCCCTACACTTCGCCTACTGGTACGAGGCTGCCACTCGAAAACCTTTCTTTCCCAACGGTTGTCGGTTCTTCGAGCTATATGGCCGGCCCATTGCCACTTCAGCTTACTAATTCGTAAGCTGAAGTAGCAATGGGCCGGCCATATAGCCTACACTTAAATTATCAGCTGCTGAACTGAAAGCTCCTAATAGAATCGTAAAAGTCAGGTTTCTTTGTTTGTTTGTATTAATGAACACTGAATGATTATATTTTTCCAGTCTCAACATGCTCGCTCTTTCTGTTACCACTAGTTTTTTTGGCAACGCCCTTTGCGAGAAAATTTTCAGCCTTCTTAATCATTTATGGACGAAAGAGCGAAACAAAATGTCATCGGATTTGATGAAGTCTGAACTGCAGACTCGCATCAATTTTGATGCGTCTTGCTCAGAAATAATGTCTGTTCTGCAAAGCCCTGACGGAGGAAGGCTTTAAAATATGGCAAAATCCAGTAACAAATATTTAAAAAAGTTGTCGGTTTATCGTTTGATTTAATAACTGAGTTACTGAGCCAAAATAAATGTTGTTTTAATATTCGAGTTTAACCAATAAGCGAAAGAGATGTTTTTAATTTTTGTTTTAAAGGTGGTTTTATATAATGAATATTGTTGTTATCTGGTGTTGATTTTCTACCTAAGTTTCACTTACGGAGCGACCATTCGGACTCGGCTCATTCGAGCGAGCAAGCGATCTCAATTTTTGTGTTAAGTTTTATTTTTTATGTACTAATACCATACAATACCAAATGTTTCATGAAAAAACAAATACTTATCTTGATTTTAATAATAATAATAATTATTATTATTAAGACCAACAACTATCGGAGATACACCCTAAAGAATGGCACTGTCGACGTCTGTCGAGCTTGTCGCCATCCCGGGGAGTCACTTAGACATGTCATCTCCGGTTGTTCAGACTTGAAGTTGGCTCAGACTGAACTTAACGCCCTGGATAGAAAAGTCCACACTACCATGACGTCCCATAGGATGCATCATCCGAGATCGTCGGTAATGAGGCTGTACTTGCCGTGAAAGCATGGTGGGCGTGGCTTCTTGAGCACGCTCACCATGCATAATTGCGAAGTGTGTAGCCTCCGTGATTACTTTCTGGCGAGATCGGATGATCCATTCTATAAGGACGTCATTTCTTGTGATAAAGGACTTACCCCTCTATCCTTAGCCAACGAGCAATGGCAAGACCCGGCAGTGCAGAGCATTTCCGACCGGGAGACCGTGTGGAAGGAGAAGGAGCTCCACGGGAGGTTCTACAAGGCTCTACATGAGCCTTTCGTAGACACAGTAGCCTCCCTCCACTGGCTACGCTTTGGTGATCTCTTCGAGGAAACCGAGGGTTTTGTCTGTGCAATAGAAGATCAGGTTATTAAGACCAACAACTATCGGAGTTATATCCTTAAGGATGGCACTGTTGACGTCTGTCGAGCTTGTTGCCATCCCGGTGAGTCACTTAGGCATGTCATCTCCGGTTTTTCGGCGCTTTCTAACTCTAAGTACTTGTACAGGCACAACCTAGTAGCCAGAATTCTATGCCAGAAGCTCGCTCTGAAATACGGTCTCGTGGACCGGAAAATGCCGTATTACAATAATTGCCGGAAGCCGTGCTCGAAAATGATCGCGCCAGGCTCTATTGGGACCGGGCCATCATCACAGACAGGACTATTCTTGCGAATAAGCCTGATATTGTGCTGATGGACCGGGCATAGTCAAGGATATTTTTGGTCGACATTACCATTCCGTATGACGAGAACCTCGTGAAAACTGAAACAGATAAGCAAAGAAAATATCTGGACCTGGCTCACGAGGTGACCGACATGTGAAGTGGTATGCCGGCCGAAATTATTCCTGTAGTCGTCTCTGCGAATGGGCTAATCCCAGTCAGCCTCTCGGGTCATCTGAGGCGTCTGGGACTCCGTGACGGACCGCTCCGGGCTCAAATGCAGAAGGCAGTGCTCCTCGATACCGCCCGCATCGTCCGCCGGTTTCTTTCCCTTTCCTCCTAACCCTCGGCCGTTTGGTCTCCCCTGCCGAGGGCTTCCATCTGGTTGGGCTTTTATTTATTTATGTATTTTTGTATTTATTTTATTTTAATTATATTTATGTATCTTTTCATTTTAATTTATAATTATATATTTATAGAACCCAACCAGATGAAAAAACTATATAGATACCCCACATAATAATAAATTGGCGTAGGGAATTGACGACCCCATCGCCCGCTGAAACAGTTAAGTGACAAAACTGCTACGTCAACGCAGTCAGTCAGCGCCTTGCGAGAGGTATGAGCGCCGTGCCTGTTTGTGCTTATGGCCACACACGATACGGTGCCGGGCCTGGGCGTCTCCTGTTAATGGACGCCCAAATAATGGATGATGGATAAAAAGATAGTGCGCAAGGGTCGCTGCCTGGGGGTCGCCGGAGCGCGTCTGGAGCTGGCGCTGGACGCGGCAGCATGCGGGCCGCCAGCCGAGCGCGAGGAGCTGCACGGTCACCTAGCAGCCCTCCGCATCCATCATCCCCACCAGAAGGCTTGGTGTCGGCTGGGTCTTCTCGGACTCAGCAAGCGGCACCCGCCGCTGGTGGAGCACGTCGCATGCGTTGGTCACAAGCAATGAACGCAAACGCACTGCGGGCGTACTTTAGGGCAAAAGGGGAAGAAATTGGATATTTGGCGTATGGGCTAGGATGCATCGTCTTTTTGCTAAGCTGGAGCAATTTTTAACCGTCACAGAGCAAAACCTGGCAGACCGAGTTCGGTATATCTTGCGCTCAAATATATTTGATGTCACCGAACTCGAACGGCTACGACGTGAGGCTGTTCCCTCATCGGATGAAAATGCTACGGCTGAGGATGCGGCGCCACAAATCGTAGAGCAACCCGAAAACGTTGATGCCTCCGTGAATACCCCAGTTGTAGTTGATTCAAACGATGATGGAACAGTCGCCCAGGAACTGGAATTAGAGCATATGAGGAGTACATTGGAAGAGGCGATTGTGGAAACGTGCAGTACGCCTCTCGAAAATCGACCGCGACTTCCCCGCATAGCCCTAAGCAAGCGGAATCGGGCTGTCGTGAGGGCTCTGAACCCAATGCTGGTGACCTATTTGGAAGCCAGCTGAGACCTTTGCGAGACGGACTCAATTCTTTTTGGCGCCGCGCTAGCAGTCTGCCGTATCATAGGCGCCAAGGTTTCCATGGCTGGACGCGCTACTGGCCAAAGTAGCGCTATCCCAGCATGGAGAAGAAGAATTGAGGAACGTATCGCAAAGGCTAGAGCTCTCATCGGCAGATTGATATGCTTCAGATCAGGCAATAACAGGCCAAGAATTGTGCGCACCGTCAGGATGGCGTTTGCTGGGACAAATGTCAGTTTGTCCCAGCCGGATATAACGTAAAAACTGACGGGACGCATAGATGATCTGAAGCAGAGAATCGCTGCTTGGGGAAAGCGGATTTGGCGATATACCGAGAGGTCGACACGGTTCGAGAAGAATCGTCTCTTCCAGAGTGATCAGAAGAAGCTCTGTGAATTATTGGAGCGACCAATGGTAAGTGGAAAGGGCCCAGCATCGAATCAGGCCGACACTGTAGCAGCGTGGCCTGTGGTCAGAGCCCGTAAACGACAGCGAGGGCCCTAGGACGGAAGTTGTGACGAGTCAGTGTGCGAGTATAACCCAGTATATAAATTTTTTTTTGCTCTAATGTAGTATGTGTTGATTGAGTTTCAATTTTCTGTTCTTTGAGTTGTTTTACCGGCTGTTTACTTTCCGTTGTTTCTGTAGTTCCATCTAGCGGATATTTATGAAAACTCAATTGAGAATCAGTTTGCCCATCTAACAATTTTGTTTTTGTCGTAATCAACATGTCCTGCTCATTTTCTTTTCTTGAATCAATACTTAAAATAAAAATACCTGTATCTGGCAACCCTAGCTGTAACAGTGATATCTTTCTTATTATATAGTATATTATATTACAACTACAAATTTTTTAAACGGTGCAATGCACAGTTAAAGTTCTTTGATATTTCTGTCACGTTGGACGTGTTAATTGACCTAAAATGTGAAGCTAGAGGTTCGATAACTCATGCTGACTTATATAATAACCGAAGTTTCATAATTGCTTCTGCCGCAGCACTCTAAAGGATGGAAGTTTTGGTTGTTTAGAATGTAACTTTATGTCAAATTTATGTAATTATGACGCAAATGTATTCAATTTTTTTTATTTCAAACAAAATCCACAGCTCTTTGTTACATCGTACGTACATCTTATGATCTTAAATTATAGCCAAAAACGGATTTACATTATTTAAATAGTATTTTCAATTTATAACGGACATGTTGAAGACAAAGTAGTTGGGACTAAAAATACATATTTTTAAATATTTAGAATGCAATCATACATAATGCTCGTATGCGCCTCCCTCGCACGCGGGCATGTGTGTGTGTGTGTGTGTGTGTGTGTGCGTGTGTGTGTGTGTTGTGTGTGTGTGTGTGTGTGTGTGTGTGTGTGTGTGTGTGTGTGTGTGTGTGTGTGTGTGTGTGTGTGTGTGTGTGTGTGTGTGTGTGTGTGTGTGTGTGTGTGTGTGTGTGTGTGTGTGTATGTGTGAATGAGTTACCTAAACTCACTACATCAGAAGTTTCAAGACATCCTTCTTAAACTTATCCTTACTGGAATGGAAAATATCAACTGAGTGGAATCTTTTATTATAAACTTTTTGCAAACGATTCACCAGAGAGTTTTGTGCATAGTTCGTCTTTGTCTTAACAACCGCAAACAAAGGTATATGTCTCGTTCTACGTTTCGGAGTACAAAAGCAGAGAACTCTATCAGCTAAAGTTACACAGTCAATACTTCCATTACATAAACCATGCAGAAATGCCATGTCCATTAGAGTACGTCTATCCTCAAGGCTTATTATATTGAAATATCTACAAGACTCTTCCTAGTTATTAGTGTTAATAAAATTTCTATACTTTAAATGTTTCAGGAATTTGTGCTGAATTTGTTCTAAGTTATTTATATGAACAGTGTAATGCGGGTTCCATACAGTACTGCAATATTCAAGGACGCTTCTAACATATGAAAAGTAAAGTAATTTAATACAATTAATATCAGTAAAGGGTCTGCTTACGCGTAGGATGAAGCCAAGGCTTTTGTAGGCCGAGTGCGTTATTGTTTCAATATGTTCTGAGAAGCTTAACTTGCAATCCAGTAATATCCCCGGATCCTTCACTAATTCTTTCTTAGTTATATTAAGGTGATTTATTTGGTAGTTGAAATTTGTAGGTTCTCTTTTCCTTGTGAAAGAAACGTAAACACATTTGCTGACATTAACTCCTATACGATTTACTAGATAATAGTTACCAAGTCGCACAAGATCATCTTGAAGTTTCATGCAATCTACATAATCAGTGATTTTCATATATATTTTAGTGTCATCAGCGTACATCAGAAGCTTAGCATTATGAAAACACTTGCCCACATCATATATATAGCACACGTACAGTAGAGGACCCAAAATAGAACCTTGTGGAACTCCGGATGTTATTTCCACGAAGTCAGAACGGAACCCTCCTAAGACTACTGCCTGAGATCGTTTCCACAGATATGATTCCATCCACCTGGAAAGGTTACCCCGTATGCCCGGCTCAAAAAGCTTACGTAGTAATATCATGTGATCTACGCGATCAAAGGCTTTCTCAAAGTCAGTGTAAATGACATCTACTTGCGACCCTTCATCCATATTTGAGGTAGTATAATCAATAAATGCGCCCAAGTTATCGTAGTTGCTGTAGAGCGCCCTTTCACAAAGCCATGTTGTTCTGGGGGTATTGAAGGTAATATGATGGGGTATATGTGCATATGAACTATTTTTTCTAGCAATTTACTTAACACATTAAGTATTGATATTGGCCGGTAATTCTCAATTATTGTCTTCAGCCCTTTCTTGTGTATAGGTACAACATGGGCTTCCTTCCAAATACTTGGAAAGTAGCCATCGCGAAGACACCTATTGAATAAAAGTGCTATAGGAACAGATAAGGATTTTGCACATTTTACAAATAATACAGGAGGCAATTTATCGCTACCGGCACCTTTCGTAATGTCAAGCTTACAAATTAAATTCTTAACTTTCTCTGGATTTATTTCAATATCTTGGATTACATTTAAATTTAAATTATGAGATCGTATAGTCAAATTATTGTCAACAGATTTAGTAAACTTACTTTTAAAAAAATCGTTAAATGACGAGCAGATTGCTATTGGGTTATTCACTTTAGTGTCTCCGTATGTCATTTCTTGAGGATAATCAGAATGGTTTTTACGCTTAGACTTTACATAACTCCAGAAAGCTTGGGGTTATGTTTAATATTCTCTTGAGTGCGTGTTAGGTACAGTTTATAACATTGTTGCTGTAGTATCTTTTGTCGTTTTCTCAGCTCCGAAAAGTCTGCGTAATCGATCGGATTTTTATGCTTCTTCCAACTAGAGTGCAATTTACTTTTTTCTTTTATAAGGTTAATTAGTGCTCTGCTGTACCATATTGGATACGAATAATTACCACTACATCGGATTTTAGGAACAAATTTTTCAAATATTTCAATGTGTAGTGTTCGCGTAAATATAAGAAATCACAATTTGTTTGTATCTTCGGCCTTATTCTCAGGAATCCCTGTTATCTCTATATTCTGCATTCGTGTCCACTGTTGTTGTCTCAAGTTTTCGTCTTCCAATGCTTTAATCCTTGCTGCTTGTGCAGTAACACTATTTTTTTGACTTTTATTTTCTTCTCTTATACATTTCAATTCAGAAGTGGACGTTGCAAGCAGCTTTTTTAGTTCTACGAGCTCTTTGCGAAAATCCTCATATTGCCCACTAATAAATATTGAAGACTCCTGATATCCGGAATACTGGTTTTTTATTGTGGTTAACTGATCTGATAATTCCTTCAGGCTTGATTGAATAACAATTCTTAATTCTTGTCTTTCAGCCTCCAAGACATCCTTCAACTTTTTTTCGTTATGTAGTCAAATGTTAAATCAGATTTTTTACGCAACGTTACATTCAAGTTATCTGCGTTATCGAGAACTGCCGACTCTGTCTGGTGCGATGGGCGTATAGGTGTGTTTGTGTTATCCTTCTTAGGTATTTTACTTTTACATTCCAGGCATCTCTAATTACGCTTATTCTCATCATTTAACGCTCTATACCGCTGTGGTGAGATATTAGCGCATTGAAGGTCATACTTCTGTTTACAACCAAGGCAGGTCATGTATCTTTTATCAGATATTAATGCTCTGCAAGCTCCACAGAATTGTTTATCCATTTTAGGCGCAATAGAATACTCTAAAAACAACTTTTAAAATTTTCTAGAAAAAGTTTGTTAACTAGTATGTGCTAATTATTTTATCCAGGCGCTAAAAGATTAGCAAGTAAATATTGCCGTACTACGTCACAGCGAGCGAATTGCGAGTTGGGGTAGGTCCGGGAGATTGAAGATATAAGATTTTATAAATATTAAAATGATTCTTACTCCACAATTTCTTGATGTTTTATTGTAGTAATTACACAGACACAATCACCGTCATATAAGGTTCACGTATGTACTAGTCGCAATGTTTCGCACTATAAACAGATATTTTGAATTTTAAATAGCCACAAAATTCAAACGATGTTTTATCTTCAACTGCCCTCGTTCGTTCGTTTAATATTGTTTTCCAATTAGCCTTTAAAGAAATCATACATAATATGAATGTATGATTTCTTTAAAGGCTAATTTTACCTACGTGATAGAGCCATGCAGCTGCTACATATGTAGTATAGTTGAAGCACGAATCAGTCAGTTCGACCATGGAAGGACCACGCTTTCACAGAATACCAGCGTAAAATAGCAGCTTAATTCTGTTGTTGTGTTCGTGTGGTGAGTGTTTTTTTTTTTTTTTTTTTTTTTTTTATAGAAGAGGGGGGCAAACGAGCATGTGGCTCACCTGATGTTAAGTGACTGCCGCCGCCCATGATCAACCGCAACACCAGGGGAATTGCAGGTGCGTTGCCGGCCCTTTAGAAAGGAGTAAGCTCTTTTCTTGAAGGTCCCCAGGTTGTATCGGTCCGGAAAAAT